AGAGGGTGGGGGGGCGGGCGGTCGGGAGCCAGCTGGTGTCGCTCGCCGGCTTCCAGGCCTCGCGCGGGCGCGGGGCGAGCCACGCGGCGAGGATGGGAGCCGCCTTTACCTCTTCCTCCTCCCCCTCCTCCTCCTCCTCCTCCTCCTCTCCTCCTCCTCCTCCTCCTCTCCTCATCATCATCATCATCATCATCATCATCATCATCAGCAGCAGCAGCAGCAGCAGCATCATCATCATCATCATCATCATCATCATCATCATCATCATCATCATCATCATCATCATCATCATCATCATCATCATCCCCCTCCTCCTCCTCCTCCTCCTCCTCCTCCTTCCTCCTCCTCCTCGTCCTCCTCCTCCTCCTCCTCCTCCTCCTCCTCCTCCTCCTCCTCCTCCTCCTCCCCCTCCTTCCCCCCCCGTGGTTATATTACCCCCGTTATTCCTCATTCTCCTCCTCATGCTTTTCTTTTCCTCCCTCCTCCTCCTCCTCCTCCTCCTCCTCCTCCTCCTCCTCCTCCTCCTCCTCCTCCTCCTCCTCCTCCCTCCTCCTCCTCCTCCTCCTCCTCCCCTTCCTCAGCCTCCTCCTCGTCCTCCTCCTCTTCCTCCTCCTCCTCCTCCTCTTCCTTTTCCTCCTCTTCAGATTCCTCTTCCGCCCACTCCTCCTCATCATCTTATTATCATATTATTATTGTTATCATCTTTTATAAGTAGTCTAAGTATTAATACGATTACTAATATTGTTGGTAACAGTATTATTGTTATTATCATGCTTATTATTGTTATTATTATTATGGTTATTCTTATTATATTAGTATTCTTCTTATTCTTCTTATTATTACCGACGAGAGGAGCCGGGCCCCCTTGCCGCGCGCGTCACGCTTTTGCGACCAAAGCATGGGGCGGTGCCGCACGAGCGCGGGCGAGCCCAGCGGCGGGCCCGGTCGATGCCCCGAGCCCACTGAAGGCATTGGCCGTCGCCGCAATCGGAGCGGCGCGCGGGCCGCCCGCGTTGTGAATCATCCTGCGCCTCGGGCAGGGAGGCTTCGCGCTCTCGGGCGCCCCTCGCCTACTCGAGCGGCAGTTTCTGTCATTCTTCGTCAATGGTTTCCCATCGCGGATGCGCGCCGCCGCCGCCGCGGCAGGGCGCGGCGCGGCGCGCGCACGCGCGGGCCACGTCCGCGCGGCGGGCCGCCCACCTCGGCGGTCCGTGCCTTCCCGCAGTGAGCATCGCGTCGACGTCGACATGTTGGGTGAGGGGGAGTCGGCGCGAGCTTCGCGCGCAGGCGTCCTGGGCGCGCGCGGACGTGCTCGTACTCGCAGAATTTTCCTCCCCTTGTTTGGGTGGGCGGGTTGGGAGAAATGACATTTTCGCGCGTGGCGTTGCGCGGAGAAGGGGGGGGGGAATTGCGAACACTCGCGCCTCCGTGCTGCGCAGGCGATCGGCGCGAGCCCCCTCCCGGCCCCCCGTCAGCTCAGCCCTCAGCTCGGGCCGGAGATAGCAAGACCGACGAGAGGGGCCGGGCCCCCTCCCCGCGCGCGTCACGCTTTTGCGACCAAAGCATGGGGTGGCGCCGCACGAGCGCGGGCGAGCCCAGCGGCGGGCCCGGTCGATGCCATCAGTTTGCGTGACCGGCCGCCACTAGTTGTGCCCCCCCGGTCGTGCACCACCGCCTGATGCTTCCATTCGATTGTTTGGCTCTCCCCCCGTATTTTGCCCGTGACTTTTGGCACTGGCGGCGTTAGATGTGTGACCTTCGCTCACCTCCCGCAAATCACGACGTTCTTCTTAGGATTCGACGGTTGCCTCGCGCCACAGCTCCGCCGAGAACTGCCGATCGGGGCGGATTGGTCACCAGCAAAGCGGGAGGTGGGGGCCGCAAATCATTCCCCCTGCCCGACGACCGCTTTCGGCCTGGCCAGGGGAGCGAGCGAACCTCTCCGACGCCATTGGCCGGCGACACTTATGGTCGGCGCTCGCATTTTTTTCCTTTTGAGATATCCAGCCTTCTCGCGTCTTCCACCTACGCAGCCCCCGATTTGTCCTGGCGGCCTACCAGAGGCCCCCCCCCCCCCCCACGCTCGGCCGCGCCGTCACCTCGGGCCCTGGACGAGCACGTTTCCTTCTGACGGAGGGGCGGGCACGGCGTTGCCAGAACACCCGAGGCCCGGTGGAAGACGGGCGCCGTATCTCGACCTTGCCCGACGACCTCTTTCGGCCCGGCAAAGGGAGTGAGCGAACCTCTCCGACACCATTGGCCGGCGACACCTTTGGTCGGCGCTCGCATTTTTACCTAACAGCGAAGACTGATAGTTTTCTAATAGGGTCAAAAGAAAGCATCATGACTCCCGAGGGGGGTCTGGGCGGGATCCGGACAGGGTGCCCCGGGAAACCCCCGGGAAACCGGGGGCTCCTTTTTAGCCAACAGTAACGCACTTCGTGGTCTTCGAATTCCCAGAATTCCATTCCTGGCCATGATTTTGAATGCCCGGACCCAACTGTAAGCCACTTCGTGTTCTTCGAGCTCCCAGAACTCCATTCCTGGCCATGATTTTGACTGCCTGGAGCCAACTGTAGGCCACTTCGTGGTCTTCGAGTTCCCAGAACTCCATTCCTGGCCATGATTTTGAATGCCCGGAGCGAACTGTAGGCCACTTCGTGGACTTCGAGTTCCCAGAACTCCATTCCTGGGCATGATTTTGAATGCCCAGAGCCAACTGTAAGCCACTTCGTGTTCTTCGAGTTCCCAGAACTCCATTCCCGGGCCACACTTTGAATGCTGAGGCAGGCTGATGCTGAGGCTGAGGCAGGCTGAGGCTGAGGCAGGCTGAGGCTGAGGCCGAGGCTGAAGGCAGACTGAGGCTGAGGCTGAAGCAGGCTGAGGCTGAGGCTGAGGCAGGCTGAGGCTGAGGCTGAGGCAGGCTGATGCTGAGGCAGGCTGAGGCTGAGGCTGAGGCTGATGCAGGCTGAGGCTGAGGCAGGCTGAGGCGGAGGCCGAGGCTGAAGGCAGACTGAGGCTGAGGCTGAAGCAGCTGAGGCTGAGGCTGAGCAGGCTGAGGCTGAGGCTGAGGCAGGCTGAGGCTGAGGCAGGCTGAGGCTGAGGCTGAGGCTGATGCAGGCTGAGGCTGAGGCAGGCTGAGGCCGAGGCCGAGGCCGACGGCAGACTGAGGCTGAGGCTGAAGCAGGCTGAGGCTGAGGCAGAGGCAGGCTGAGGCTGAGGCTGAGGCAGGTTGATGCTGAGGCAGGCTGAGGCAGAGGCCGGGCTGAAGGCAGATTGAAAAAAGGGATGAGGCAGCATGCAAGACTGAGGCTGAGGCAGAGGCAGGCTGAGGCTGAGGCTGAGGCTGAGGCAGGCTGGAGCTGAGGCAGATGCCTGAGGCTGAGGCTGAGTCTGATGCAGGCCTGAGGCCTCAAGGCAGCCTGAGGAGGAGAGGCCGAGGCTGAGGGCGGCTGAGGCTGAGGCTGAGGCAGGCTTAGGCTGGGCTGAGGCAGCTGAAGGCTGAGGCTGAGGCAGGCTGAGGCTGCTCAGGCCGCAACGTTGCGGGCTGAGCAGGCTGGGCTGAGGCAAGGGAGAGGCTGAGGCTGAGGCTGAGGCTGATGCAGGCTGAGGCTGAGGCAGGCTGAGGCTGAGGCCGAGGCTGAAGCAGACTGAGGCTGAAGCAGGCTGAGGCTGAGGCTGAAGGCTGAGGCTGAGGCTGAGGCAGGCTGATGCTGAGGCAGGCTGAGGCTGAGGCTGAGGCTGATGCAGGCTGAGGCTGAGGCAGCCTGAGGCTGAGGCCGAGGCTGAAGGCAGACTGAGGCTGACGCTGAAGCAGGCTGAGGCTGAGGCTGAGGCAGGCTGAGGCTGAGGCTGAGGCAGGCTGATGCTGAGGCAGGCTGAGGCTGAGGCTGAGGCTGATGCAGGCTGAGGCTGAGGCAGGCTGAGGCTGAGGCCGGGGCTGAAGACAGACTGAGGCTGAGGCAGGCTGAGGCTGAGGTAGGCTGAGGCTGAGGCCGAGGCTGCAGGCAGACTGAGGCTGAGGCTGAAGCAGGCTCAGGCTGAGGCTGAGGCAGGCTGAGGCTGAGGCTGAGGCTGAGGCAGGCTGATGCTGAAGCAGGCTGAGGCTGAGGCTGAGGCTGAGGCTGATGCAGGCTGAGGCTGAGGCAGGCTGAGGCTGAGGCCGAGGCCGACGGCAGAAAGACTGAGGCTGAGGCTGAAGCAGGCTTGAGGCTGAGAGGCGAGGCAGAGGCAAGGCTGAGGCTGAGGAGGCAGCAAGAGGCTGATGCTGCGGCCGAGGCAGGCTGAGGCTGAGGCAGGCTGAGGTTGAGGCCGAGGCTGAAGGCAGACTGAGGCTGAGGCTGAAGCAGACTGATGCTGAGGCTGAGGCAGGCTGAGGCTGAGGCTGAGGCAGGCTGATGCTGAGGCAGGCTGAGGCTGAGGCTGAGGCTGATGCAGGCTGAGGCTGAGAGGCTGAGGCTGAACTGCGACTGCCGTTGCCACTGCGAGTGCCCTCGCGAATGCGACTCTACGACTGCGAGACAGCAGAATTCTACAACTGTATTATCATCTGCAGTCTTCAAGGGGAATGCGTCCAGATATGCTCCTACACATCGCTGTTAGGTTGCTTTGCCGGGATAATTTCCTAACAGCGAAGACTGATAGGCTTCTAGTAGGGTCAAAAGAGAGCATCATGACGCCCCAGGGGGATCTGGGCGGTAATCCACAGGGTGCCCCGATTCCCCGGGGATTCCTTTTTTTAGCCAACAGTAACGCACTTCGTGGTCTTCGAATTCCCAGAACTCCCATTCCTGGTTTATAGATTTTGCATGCCCGGAGGCCAACTGTAAGGCCACTTCGTGTTCTTCGAGTTCCAGAACTCCATTCCTGGGCATGATTTTGAATGCCCGGAGCCAACTGTAAGCCATTTCGTGGTTTTCTAGTTCCCAGAATTCCATTCCTGGGCATGATTTTGAATGCCCGGAGCCAACTGTAGGCCACTTCGTGGTTTTCAAGTTCCCAGAATTCCATTCCTGGGCATGGTTTTGAATGCCCGGAGCCAACTGCAGGCCACTTCGTGTTCTTCGAGTTCCCAGAAAACTTCTATTTCCCGGGCCACATTTTGAATGCCGAGGCAGGCTGATGCTGAGGCTGAGGCAGGCTGAGGCTGAGGCAGGCTGAGGCTTAAGCAGAGGCTGAAGGCAGACTGAGGCTGAAGCTGAAGCAGGCTGAGGCTGAGGCTGAGGCAGGCTGAGGCTGAGGCTGAGGCAGGCTGATGCTGAGGCAGGCTGAGGCTGAGGCTGCGGCTCATGCAAGCTGAGGCTGAGGCAGGCTGAGGCTGAGGCCGAGGCTGAAGGCAGACTGAGGCTGAGGCTGAAGCAGGCCGAGGCTGAGGCTGAGGCTGGGGCTGAGGCAGGCTGAAGGCAGATTTGAGTCTGAGGCTGAAGCAGGCTGAGGGCTGAGGCAGATGCCAGGCTGAAGGCTTGAGGCTGAAGCAGGCCGAGGCTGAGCAGGCTGAGGCTGAGGCTGATGCAGGCTGAGGCCTGAGGCTGAGGCCTGATGCAGGCTGGAGGCTTATGCAGGCTGAGGCTGAGGCCGAGGCGAAGCAGGCTGAGGCTGAGGCGCAGGCTGAGGCTGAGCAAGCTGAGGCTGAGGCTGAGGCAGGCAGGCTGAGGCTGATGAGGCTGAGGCAGGCTGAGGCTGAGGCCGAGGCTGAAGGCAGGCTGAGGCAGACGCTGAGGCAGGCTGAGGCTGATGCTGAGGGCTGAGGCAGGCTGAGGCCTGAAGGCTGAGGCTGAGGCTGAGGCTGAGGCAGCTGAGGCTGAGGCCGAGGCTGAAGGCAGACTGAGGCTGAGGCTGAGGCTGAAGCAGGCTGAGGCTGAGGCTGAGTCAGGCTGAGGCTGAGGCAGGCTGGAGGCTGAGGCTGAGGCAGGCTGAGGCTGAGGCTGTGACTGCGACTGCCGTTGCCACTGCGACTGTCATCGCGAATGCGACTACGACTGCGAGAACAGCAGAATTCTACAACTGGATTCTCACCTGAATCTTCAGGGGAATGCTTCCAAATATGCTCCTACACATCGCTGTTAGGTTGCTTTGCCGGGATAATTTTTACCTAACAGCTTTTGCTGATAGGTTTCTAGTGGTCTCAAAAGAGAGCATCTTGACGCCCCAGGGGGTCTGGGCGGGATCCGGACAAAACCGGACAAAAGGGTCAGCCCCAGGAATCCTTAGGAATCCTTTGGAATTCTTAGGAATCCTTAGGATTCCATTCCCAGAACACCATTCCCAGGCCACATTTTGAATGCCCGGAGCCAACTGTAAGCCACTTCGTGTTCTTCGTGTTCCCAGAACACCATTCCCAGGCCACTTTTTCAATAACCGGAGCCAACTGTAGGCCACTTCGTGTTTTTCGTGTTCCCAGAACACCATTCCCAGGCCACATTTTGAATGCCCAGAGCCAACTGTAGGCCACTTCGTGTTCTTCGTGTTCACAGAACACCATTCCCAGGCCACATTTTGAATGCCCGGAGCCAACTGTAGGCCACTTCGTGATCTTCGTGTTCCCAGAACACCAGTCCTGTGCCATATTTTGAATGCCCGAGCTAAGGCAGGCTGAGGCCGAGGCAGGCTATGGCTGAGGCTGAGGCACGCCGAGGCAGGCGGCCGATTTTTCGAGACGCCTTACCCCGTATTTTTCGAATCGCCTTAGCCCGGAGTTTTCGACCCGCCTTACCTGTCACTCGTCTTCCGCCGCCCCCTCCTCTTTCCCTTTCCTGCCCCCACCCTCTCCTTCAGCGTGTGCGCAGTGTTGAGTTCAATCAGAGATGCATCACGTCTTTTTTCCAATCGAATTCGCCTCCCGGCAGGGGTCCGCGAGAATCCGGACCCTCACTGTCGGTTGTTTCACTCAACCTCACCATTCTGCATATCAACGTCGACGGATGTTTTAGTCATCGCGCCGAGCTTGAGGCTCGTTTATCTCTCTTTCCCGCCCTCCCTCTGCTTGTCCTGATGAATGAAAGCAAACTCGACAGGTCTTGCCCAACGCCGTGCATGAGCGGTTATTATTTGATTGACCGTAGAGATAGAAACGCCCACGGAGGTGGAGTTCTTATGTTTGCCATCGACGGATTTGCATGTTTATTCTCTCCGCCTCCTTGTTCGACTCAGGCCGAAATCTTATGGACACTGTTTCCTTCTCAGTGCGGGCCCATTTTAATTGCGCGCTGATACCGTCCGCCCCGTTACGGCGAACTTGCAACGATTAATTCTTTCTCAGCAGAGTGGTCCCGACACGCGTCTTTAGCTATCGGAACCGTTCTCGCAGGCGACCTGAATTTACACCATGTTCAGTGGCTTCGCTTTTCTAGACAGACTAGCCCGGAGGGAATCGGTGTTCACTACATGGTTTTAAAGAATGCGTCAAAGCACCAACTAGGGGCATTAATATTCTCGATCTTGTTTTAACAGACCTTCACGAGCAGGTCGAGGGCGCGGTTCTTCCCAAAATCGCCGACCACTCTCTTGTTTTTTGCTCTCTTTCGTTTCCTCCTCTCCTCCCTTCTACGGTCGTGCGCCGAGGTTGGAAGTACTCGGAGGCTTCCTGGCCGTCGCTTAGACGCCGCTTCCGGCAGACAGATTGGGAATTCATCTGCCGTCTTCGTCCAACCGATGCCGCTGTGCAGCTCACAAGTGCGATTTTTAACGGTATGCGAGATTTCATTCCGTCTGTCTTGATCCAGTCGTCGTCGTCATCGCACCCTTGGCTTACGACGGATTGTCTAGAAAAGGTGCGGCTGAAAGCACAGGCCGAGGGCTCGCCTGAGTTCCCATTTGCAGTCCGAGCTTGCAGCCATGCCATGCTGAACGCTTTTCACGATTATATCGGGCGCACTCGTGCTAAGCTTCGCTCGCTCCGATCTGGCAGCAAAGGCTGGTGGAAGCTGTCTCGTGATTTCATGCGTAAAATCTCTAAAGAAGGTTCGCCGCCTCTTCGGACTCCAGACGGCGCTTGGGCGACCCAGGCGGCCGACAAGGCAAACGAATTTGCACGATCTTTTGAAGTAAAATGGCAGAGTCCACTTTTAATCCCCACAGCGTATTCCCCTCTCCCTCCTCCCTCCTCGCCTTCCCTTGGTCTCCCTCCTCTCCGTCTCCGCTCCGCTTCGAAAGTCTTGAAAAATTTGAGCATTGACAGTGGTACCGGGCCTGACTTGATCCCAGCTCGTGTTTTGAAGGTGTACTTTCAAGAATTGTCTCTTCCCATTGTTCTTCTTGCTCGTCGTGTTCTCTCGAGAGGAGAGTGGCCGCGCTGTTGGGCCATCCACTGGATTCACCCTCTTTTCAAAAAAATGTCGAAGCACGACGTTGGCAATTACAGAAGAATCCATCTTACTTCGCAGGTGTCTAAGGTCGTGGAGCGGCTGATTGCTTCTTTGTTTGTGCCCCGGCTCGTGCAGGAGCTGAGTTATGGCGACTTTCAATTTGCTTACACGCCTGGCAAAGGATCGAGAGATGCGATTTTGTTCTTCGTTCTGACCTGCCTCGTCGCATTCGGCGCTGGGAGGCGCGTTACTGTGTACAGCACCGACGCTGCCTGTGCGTTCGACAGAGTCTCAGCCGACCGCTTAAAGGCCAAATTAGGGGCTTCTGGTTTGCATCCCTCCGTTTTGGCTGTCCTCAGCAGTTGGCTGGCGCCACACTCGGCGAATGTAGTTGTTGAGGGTGCGCTCTCTCGTGCGATCACCATGACTGACATGGTATTTCAAGGCACTGTTTTAGGCCCAGTTCTGTGGAACGTTTTCTATTCCGATTCCAAAGAGGCCGTCCGCAGTGTAGGTTTTCAAGACCCGCGGCAAACTGTTGCAAGAGTTTCGCTTCCGCCTGAGCACCGCGCACATTCGAATTCAAACTCTCCAGGAGCTTCACGGATGAAGGGCGGATACTTTTCAAAATGTGGTGTTCGCCTGAGCGCCGCCACATCCGTCCTAAAACGTGCAGGAGCTTCACTGATGGAGGGCGTGACGTTTTCAAAATGTGGCTCTCGCCTGAGCGCCGCGCACATTCGTCTCAAAACGGTGCAAGAGTTTCACGGACGGAGCGTGGTTATTTTTCAAGTAAGGTTCTCGCCATAGCACAGCAAGCATTCGTCAGGAAAGCTTTTTGGGGCTTCACGGATGGAAGTCGGGTGGTTTTCAAAATGTGGTTTTCGTCATAATTAGCGTTGCGAACATTCGGCTTGAAAATGTGCACGAATTTCACGGATGTAAGGCGACTATTTTTCAAAAATGCGGTTCTCGCCTCAACGCCGCGAACCTTCGTCTTCAAATTTGCAACGGTTTAACGGTTTCGTATGGTTGACGTCCCGGGACTTGCGTTCTGGCACGATGATATGCTGCCAATGCCCAAGAATCACGTTGATTCGCTGTGTTGAGGTCCCAGGAACGGTACTCTGGCATTGTGCGAGATCGTCAAGACGCAGCAGTACATGTGACTCGCGGCGTTGAAATCGAAAGGCAGGTGTGTGTTTCGGCACGACTGAAGACTCGCAGCCGGATGTCTTCCAGTGAGTGGGGCACTTCTAGCCCTGATGATGATTCCATTGGGGACCTATGACGAGGGAATGGGGAGGAAGGGTGTAGTACAACACCGTTGAGGCGTCTTGGGCTCACACTGGTCCTGCTCCTTCCCCGCATCTTCCCATCCTCCTCCCCCTCAACTCCTCAACCCACCCACCCTCCTCCCCCTCAACTCCCCCTCCTTCCCATCCTCCTCCCCCTCAACTCCCCCTCAACTCCCCCTCCCCCTCAACTCCCCTTCCCCCTCAACTCCTCCTCCTTCCCATCCTCCTCCCCCTCAACTCCTCCACCCCCCCCCCTCCTCCTCGCGAGCCAGCCTGCGGGCTGCCGTGGAGCCTCGCGGAGAGGTCCAGCGGGCGCCCCGAGGAGAGGTCCAGCCGCGTCGCGCCGCCTGGAGCCGCCATGCTCGCGGGCGGCCGTCGGCGAGGGGGGGAGGCTGCGGCCTCCGCGCGGGGCGGGCGGGCGAGCACCACGCACTCCATGCCCCGCCCGCCCGAACGGACCCGCCCCGCCCGCTCGCTCGCTTGCTCGAGCGAGCGAGAGGTCGGGGCCTCGTCGTGCCCCAAAAAGAGCGCCGGCCACAGACCGATGGGCGAGGCGGAGCCAAGACCGGGGCAGCACCCAAGCGGCCTCCCCCGCTGGCGAGGAGGAGGAGGAGGAGGAGGAGGAGGAGGAGGAGGAGGAGGAGGAGCGGGAGGAGGAGGAGGAGGAGGAGGAGGAGGAGGAGCGGGAGGAGGAGGAGGAGTGGGAGGAGGAGGGAGAGGAGGAGGAGCGGGAGGAGGAAAAATGGGAGAAGGAGACGTGAAGGATCTCTGAGATCTGGCGGTTCTGAGGAGGGTGGTCTCGGGCCGCGCGGCCGTGCCGGGGCGCTCCGGCACGCTCTGAGAACATGTTCTGTCCTGGTCCTCGGCCCGGCCCCCAGGCATGCGACGTCCTGATTTCTTCCACGCGCGATCTCCAATGACGCTACCGAGGAACCCTACATACTTAGATTCTGAATGGAGTGATGATAGCTGAAGTGAAGCGTGTGAGAATGATGTTGGTGGCCGTTGCCCCGCCGATACCGTTAGTGACGCCACTCAAGAGGAGAGGTGGAAGAGAAGCGCCGCGCCAGCCACACTTTGCGAGCCCGAAACAAATAGCGACCGCACCCTCAAGGCACCCCCTTGTGGCGTCGAGAAAGTGCCACGCCTGCCACGCTTTGCGAAGCCGAAACGGATATCGACCGCACCCCTGGAGCACCCCCTGTGGCATCGAGAAAGTACCGCGCCTGCCACGCCTTGCGAGCCCGAAACGGATAGCGACCGCACCCCCAGCGCACTCCCTTCGGACAGCCTGCTATGCCCTGGACGACCGTCGTGCACAGTGGCCGCGCTCAGGGACCACCCCCTGCGCACCCCTTACGGTGTCGAGAAAATGCCACTCCTGCTATGCCGTGGACGACCGGCTCGGATAGCGGCCGCGCTCAAGGACCACCTCCTGCGCAGGCCCTACGGTGTCGAGCAAGTGCCACTCCTGCCTTGCCCTGGACGACCGGCTCGGATAGCGGCCGCGCTCAGGGACCACCCCCTGCGCACCTCCTATGGTGTCGGGAAAGTGCCACTCCTGCCATGGCCTGGACGACTGGCTCGGATAGCGACCGCGCTCAGGGACCACCTCCTGCGCACCCCCCATGGTGTCGAGAACGTGCCACTTCTGCTTTGCCCTGGACAACCGGCTCGGATAGCGGCCGCGCTCAGGGACCACCCCCTGCGCACCTCCTATGGTGTCGGGAAAATGCCGCTCCTGCTATGCCCTGGACGACCGTCTCGGATAGCGGCCGCGCTCAGGGACCACCTCCTGCGCACCCCCTACGGTGTCGAGAAAGTGCCAATCCTGCTATGCCTGGACGACCGTCTCGGATAGCGGCCGCGCTCAGGGACCACCTCCTGCGCAGCCCCTATGGTGTCGAGAACGTGCCACTCCTGCCACGCCCTGGACAGATTCCCACAAGCGGTTCCTTTGACAACCCTCATTGGCAGGAGCGGCAAGTGGTCATAGTGCGCCACGCCCATGGACACGGCCTTCAAGTGCGCAGTTGCATATACCAAAGAACTTGGCGAGCGCATCAAGTCAGTCTCAGGCGGCAGTCCTCATCTTCGCCTTCTCTCGGCAGCGCGAAGCCTTCACGAAGCACTGATTGACGCGTGGGCTCAGCTACCATGGCGGTGGACCCACAAGCAGTTTCGGCAGGAGTCGGCATCCCAGACAGGGGCAGCGATGGCGCTGACCCAGGCGCAAGTCGAAGAGGATGCTCTCCTGGCGCGAACTTGCTGGAGGCCACTCAAGCACTGGCCCCGCGCGCCGACCAATGGCCGATACCTTCGAGCAGCACGGCAGACCGTCAAGTCTCCCATGTACGCTACAATCCTCGGCATCCAGGTATCGGCTCTCGCCCTGCACTTCAAGCGTGTTTTTGGCAACATTTTGGCAAGCAACATGGAATGGCTCTTCAACTTGTTCTAGCAGAAGTACTTGAGGGCATCTGTCACGCGCATATGAAGCATGGCAAGGCAGGCCCCGTGGCAATTCAACTCACGGCGGAGATCAATGCTGCGTTGGCTCTTGTTCGTTTGCGGCGGGCTACAGCTACGCCGACATCGTCGGTGGGCGGCCCGAGCACTGCGGCTCCTCTCTAGTCGTGCTCGGCAAGAAATCGGCGATCCAAACTCGGCACATTGCGAATTGTGTCACGATGTGCGTAGAGGCCAGGAAATTGGTGCAGTGGGCGCGGTCTACGCGCTCTTCTCTCATTCTGGTCTGCATGTGAACAAATCTACGATAAAGTGGCAAGGACGGCCATGTGTCCCACAGCGCGCGGTTGAACAGATCCCTGCTCTTCTAAGCCCACGCTCACGTGATGGTCGACGAACGAGGTATATCCCACTCAGGAAGTCTCTAGGCAGCGTTGGCGTTATCCCGTTGATGGCAACGACGACGGAGGACCAGGACCACGCGATTGAGACCCTATTCATCAGACCTGTGGCGCCCGAGTGTAGTCGGGCAGACGCTGAAGCGGATCGGCTACGACGAGATCGAGGTCAGCTTCTCCGCCCATCTACGAAGGCACGACGTCGCCTTCCACAGTATTTGCGACAGGGCTCGCAGACGTTGTCGTTATCGTCTCTGCCGAAATTCCAAGCAGCAGTTCGAGGGGCACTTCGAGGCCGCACACGCCATCCTGAGGATGATCCGCATACCCAAGTGCGAGGGCCATATGTGTGACAGCACCGACGACACCTGCACTCGACGATGGCGATGCACCGACAGGCAGGCCCCGTCTACTTATACACGCACATGGAATTGCTCATGGCCTCTTGCGCCACCCCTAACCGCACATCACCATGCCGCCGACTTGGACGCGACAACAGGTAGCCGAGTACATATATAAGGCGCATGAGGCTCTCCCGAAGGTGGCACGAGGTGGAGCTGCGCAGACCGCAGCCAAGAAATCGCTCGTGTACGTCCTGACATTCTGGCGTCTCCGCCTCTGGTATTTCTGCCCCACCAGCTACCCCCCCATACCGCGCCGACGCCCTCCTACTGTTCGACGGGCGCATGGCGAGATTCTGCCGGCGATGCGCCCACCTCCAGCGCGGCGCCGGGTGACGCGGCAGCTGCGAGCGCCCGCCACCTCGGGGGAGCGCGGGCGAGACAAGCTCTCGCGCAGGCAGGTTCTGCAGCGCCTGTGTCTCGATGACGTTCGAGACCGAGGGCCTCAAGACGCTGGTAGATCAGAACTGCATCCCGACCTCGACGCCGTCAAAGGCCCACGGCTGCTGGGGCGGCGGCAGACGCGCCAGCACGCGAGGGCGACGGCGCCGGCTTCGTAGCAGACATGGACCCACAGGCTACGTTTACACCCACGCTCTCGCCGAGCTGGACGGAGGTCTTGGAAAGCCTTGCTTGCGACCTTCCACCCACCAACGCAACCGGAGCCGTGGGAGCTCTTGGAGACTCCATTTCGCATCGTAGCGGAGAGTGGCAAGGCCCTTGTCCAGGACGAAAAGCACGCGGGCAGGGTGCAGGCCGTGGACGCGCAAGAACTTCAATATCACCTTCCCAAGCAGGTACTACCAGATCCGCGGTGGCAATATCAGCGGGACCCTCGACAACCAGATGTAGACCAGTGGATGCGAGCGAAGGGCCGCCTGGGCCTTCCGCGGGCCCTCCAGAGGTGGCTGAAGCTGGCAGGCAGGCCTGCGCGGCCTCCTCCAGGTGGCTGAAGCTGCCAGGCAGGCCTGCACGGCCTCCGCGACTGCTCTGCTTCATCGAGTCCAAGTGCTGGTCGGACGCAGGGGTTCATAATTGCGCCCGATCCACATGCACTCCTGTTAGCGACGCACGGCCGACATGGCCGACGTTGCCCACGCCGGGCGTCATGCTCGAGGTGGGCGGCCAGCACAAGGTCCACCTCCACCGCGTGGCGGCTACTCCGCCATGCGGCATGCCATGAGGTTGACCAGGCATTTGAATCGCGCCCTGCAACTCACGCGGGAAGACAATGACTGGCTGTCGAGCCATCATAGATTGAGTGATGTCGGTATGACCACAGATTTGTCCGACGGTGTCGCGTGCTTCACATGCGTCATGGTGAAGTTGCACTTGGTCGAGGCTGGCGGTCGATTTCGCTGTCAGCGATCCGTCGGGCAGTCGTTGCAGCCACGGCGTCGAGCACGGTCTGTCTCGGGAGTCTGGCAGTCACTATGACGGGGATCTCTGCAGGGAGCACCATGAATTCAGCGCGCGCGTCCGTTTAGCTTCCGGGGAGGAACATATAGGAGGAGCCGTCCGTCAATGCGACTTTGGACGCGGGGATCCTGAGGCACCTTTGGAGGCTACTCTGCGGTTGCGCCGCTATGTGGATGATACGTGCGCGGGGTCGAAACGGCTGTGTTCGTCGTGTATCTCAGGCTCGCTTCGTCGATTGTTCGCGGGGCCCCTGCCAGTCGCCCACGAGGTCCAGCGGTTCCCGACGCTCCCGCGCGCACGATTCGAGCGGCTGGCCTTGGCCTCACGGGCTTGCGAGGGCCACCTGCATTAGATCCCGGGGAAGCCCAATCGGGAGTGGCTGGCGGCTCCAACGGGGCCCCCTGGTCGCCCAATCCTACTCCACTGCAATGGCCACGCACTTTAGCAACGCCTTTTGGACAGCTTCGGGGCACTGTTCTTGGCAGAGCATCGAGGTAGTTCGCGTCGGGAGTGGGCCCGCTGATTGAGGCCCTCGTGATTCTGGGGGTTCTTGTAGAGCTGATCTACATCGGCTACCCCTTCTCGGTTCTGAGGGCACTTGTCCATTCGCTGCCGCGTTCAGCCCCAGCCTGTTTAGCCCGCGCAGTTGCTCGGCGCTGGCGAAGTGGCCTTACCCCCCCCCAACTCTTTCGCCCGCCATGGGCAGTCGCGG